AAGAAAGTGCTTGAATGGAAATATGTGTAAATCTGCATATAGAAAAGTGTTTTTTTTTATGGTCAAATTACTCATGAAATCCAAATAATCAAGTTTGGAACCAGTTTTGGTCCTAATTTGGATAATTGGCAGAATGGACCTGCATACAAGAAAGGCCATTTGCACAACGCTTAGGACTACAGAGCTACAGACATAAAGAATATTAAAAAATTGTCATTTTGGATATATTTGAAGTTATATAGCTCATGTTGTGTACATTTTAAGAGTTTTACAGAACTTAGCTAGTGTCTTTCTTAGCTTTCAATTGAGATACATCACAAGATGGGATTTATATTATTAGTTTACAGGCCTATGGCATTCGGGTGCAATACCTTTGTGCACAAGCTATGAAAAGCTGGGAGCAAAGGGGTTAAGAGATCCAACTTTTACAGCAATTCACTGCATTTATGAAGAGGGAAACTCCAGTAGCAGAGAAATAAAAGGCCAAAACTAGGGATTCAAATTATCAATTATTGAATTATTTCAAATTTGATTGATCTTAATCAACTGATGGTTTATTAATAAGCAGCAATTTCCTTATAAACTTGAGTTTTCTCCTGTATTAAGAGCATCTTTCCATAACATGAAGAACTAAATATATTTTTAGTACATTATGTTGAGTTAAAAAGAGAAGAACATCATATCTCTACCAGCTGTGTTAAATACTGACGGTATAAACCAAAGAAAATATTTTTTTTTACACATTGTTAAGCTAAACATACTTATAAAACAAAATAGGAACCAACATTGTTACTTAATATAAAAAATAACTAAAATGTGTAAAATAGAGATGTTAAATGTTAAAGAGATGTTACAATTTAAAGACAGGATTTGTCACTTTAACATGTTAGTTTGCTACAAAATAGAGAAGTTATGCAGCTTCACCAGGCAGCATGGCTAAATGGGCACTATTTAGGGGATAAGGAGTTTATGGGGTGTTGATATTTATAACCAAAACCACATAAAGTTCATTCAGCATCCTTGTCCCCATTAAACAGTGTAAATAATCCTGCTCTGGACTCTTAATTGGTTCATGTTGCTGCTCTAGTACTGCTGGTATTATTTCTTCTGTAAATACCAGTGAGGGTCCACATAAGGATAAACAGCAGCCTCTAGTGGATGGTGGTAACATTACACCAAAAAGAAATTCCCTGTAAATTGAACTTTTCAATTAATCAGATTGAATAAAATCTGATATTAATTGACAATTAAGTGCAAGTCAATTATTTTTTAAATCCCAAACTAAAACAAAGTTTGTCCAATCGGTTGAAGACATATTCTACTGAAAACAAATGTAATTTGCATATTGCATTTTACCTGACAAAGTCACCTTCAGCCATTCCATATGGAGTCGCCATTTTGTTTAGATCCAACAGCTGTTCAGGAGTCAGCTCATCAACATCAACCTCCACATCTACACATATGTAAAACACACCAGGGCAAAGTTAGAAAAACCTAATCCCAAAACTGTTATCCACAGCAAGTAAAGTACCCAGAGACATTTAGTGGTAATGGCATTATTTGATCACGAAAACTTTTGAATTGGAAGAGATAGAGAAATTTTATATACACAATGAGTACATACTAAGATGTAAACAGCTATTTACAGGATTTTCTATTATTTTCAATGACCTGATTTTTAAAATGACTATCACATAGACATTAACCAACAAGGAACTAGTTGGTTAACAAGATAGACGAAAAGTTGACAAATGGATTTGTTTACTGCTTTACTACTCATTTAAAAATGTTACTACTTATTTCCTCGCACTCAGAAATAATAAAAAAACATCCTTCATCTAATCATTTTTATTGAAAAAAAAATGAAAAATATTAAACTGTAATGAATGCTTTGCTTGCTACACATTAAAGTGTTAATGTGCAACGTTAAGGACTAGTCATAAAAATGGCCTATAAATTTGATTAGAAGATTACTGAAAGTAGAGGTGACTGTCTTGTACTTACAGTGCTCCATAAAATCAACTATGGATTAAAAAAGTTTCAACTGTAGCTATAGAGGGCGGCTTTGATAAACTACATTTATTTAAAATCAGACATATTAAACTTTCCTCATTATACCCCTCAAAACTCCCTCACCAATGTCAGGAATGCCCTCATCCTCTTCAGATTCACTGTTTTCTGAATTGTCCTCTTCTTTGTCCGACTGGGAATGAGGCTCTGCCACAGTGCTGTCTTCATACGTGTAACCAATGGCGACCTTTTTCTCAGCAAGTCTGCACAATCAGAGGAAGAACTTGTGAGTTTATAAACCACTTATATTCTGCAGGAACAAAAGACACCATCCATGTGGATGAAAATCATAAAAGTCTATGTATCAAAGAAAAGGAAACAAACATTAAAGCATAACTGAAAAATTCAAACCCATAACAGAAAAACATACTTCTTTTTCTCATCCTCGTTTGGTTTGGCCAGGCCACCGTAGAGCTCGTCCAGGTAGATCTGATATAAACACTGCTCCTCTGAGACTATAACAGGACAGCAGGGAGTTCATGAACAGATCGCAACTTCAAAATATACCCACTGAGAGCTGGTTAAGCAGCTCTACAGGCACAGAGCTCTGCATAAGTGTAAAACAACAACTGTAAAACTAGTTTAAGTAAACACTTACTGTTGGCAAAATCATTCTGTACGAGACCTCTATAGCGCTCATAATTGCACTTCCTCTCCTCCATCTCATGCTCTGGGGTTCTGGGAAGGGATATTAGGCAAAATATATATTAAAGCAAGAGCAGATGTAGCTTTCAAATATATGACAAAAATTAGCTCTAAAACAATTACTCTACACAAGATTTAAAAGATAACCAACATAAATTCTAATAGATGTTCATCTGTAGTATTAAATTATATTAAGAAATATTAAACATCAAAATAAGGTGCATAAAATAATTTAATTATTCTATAAAGTGGATCAACTTGTCTCACAGAATATACATGCTTAAATTGTGTGTGTAATAAGCCATAAGGCAGAAGATGATGATCTAACATCAAATCATAATAATGAAAAAAAAGACCTTGTCATTAAATGTAGTGAGAAAATCTTTTTTGTTAAAAACTTACGATGTAGTGAGCAGAGGGGGAGTGTAAGTCGGGATGTAGTCCAGATGGGCCCTCACATCAAATCTGTCAATCATGTTGCTGGCATCTCCTTGCCACGGCATCCTTTAAAAAACAAACAAAAATAACCAGAGAAACAAAGAAGACACTAGTTAAAGTCAGAGGGAAATCTTATTTAAATGTGAATATATTTAACGTATTTAACATATTTAACGGTTGAATAAAGAATCTTCGCAGAGTAGTGGTGACCGTTAAAGGTGTATAGTTGGAGAGCGAATTGTTGGCCGTTTCTCAATTCACAAGACCGCAAGTATGGACTCATGACCTTAGCCAGGTATGTTCTTGAGAAGAACACAGAAAACTGTGGACTTGGGGAGAAGGGGAGGATGCAGCATAAATCTGGGTCAATTGGAACAGAAACGTACTGATGACGTCACCATACGCTCAACGGTTGTCTGGAGCTGCTTTCCACCTCCTGTTATTAACAGTCCCTAGATAATAATAAATTCTGACCTTTTTCATTTAGTGGGGGAATTATAATTAACACAGTCAGATAAAAATAAATCAAATGAACACTTTGCCAAATAAAACAAAAATATTGCCATCATATCCAGCGGTCCTACACACGGCTCATGCCAAAAGAGGGCTGCTGCAGACGGGCTAGGATAAGACCTGGCTGCCGTTACCCTCAGAGCTAGGCTGGTTGCCAAAGTCCTCTCAACTTTGGAACATTTTTTTTTTTAAATTAAACATTAAATCGATAAATGGGCCATATAATGACACTTAAAAGTAGAAGGTCCTCACCTCAAATGATCTTCAAACTTACTTTTATTGAACAACAGAAAAGAGAAATGTTAATTTAATACTCTGAGCGCTCCATTAAAAGGAGACGAAGGAGACTCCAATGTAATTTCCCATTGGAAAACTACTCGCACTAAGTTGCTAACTGGTTAGCAACGATGCTTCCAAGAAACCGGCCACGACCAAACGTGCTTGCGAACCTTCCGCCACAACAACTGATAAACGGCAAATCAAATTCACTTTATTCACTCGTGTAAAGTTGTTCACCACTTGGGAGAATTCCGAACTGAAGCCGTTGGAACAGCCGTTTCACTACGACTTTAACCTCCACCGAAAACCTTCAGTTTGACTGCTTTTATTTTAAAGAAACAGTTTACAGGCTAATCATTTCAACTTTTTCTAACACATATCAGCAAGTAGCACCTTTTTTTTTATTACTGCACCTACACTATTGTCTCTGTAGTTATTCCAAACGCAGCAGACATTTGTAAATTAGGATGTTTTAATAAATATTGGACATTGAAAAAAAAAGTACAAAGCTCAAAATAAGGTCAAGGCTTTGTGTTATGTTCAGCTCTTCCTGTATTTATTGCAACTCTGGTTAACTCTCTAACACTGAAGGAACTGCAGCCAACTCTGATGAAAATTGTTTTGTTTTTTTTTGTTAACAGCTTTTCTGCCGAACCTGATTTCCTTTTATAAAACCCTGACAATAAAAGCTGCTGACACTTTTTCTCATAAAAACTTTTACAAGGGAGTGTTTTTATTAGTATAAAGTCTGAGTTCTCCAGTATAGTACATTCACTGAGGGGGGAAAGATTGGATTGCTGTTGTTTTCAAACAGCCAATTAGTGGTCAGAGCCAATCAAGCTTAAAGTAATCTGATTCCAGTCATCTGCTTCTCAGTCATTTGTGTGCAAGTTTCTCTTACATGTTTGCAGGACTTTCTGCAGCGAGCGCCACAGCTGGGTCCAGGTGGATCTTGTAGGATCGGCCATGAACTTGTAGAAATTGGGCAGGATCTTTTTTCTATAAAAACAAGAGGAGAGCTAGGTGAACACAACAAACTGCCTTAATAAATACGAATGAACAGAAAAAACCCTCTTTAATACAGACTGTGTCGACTTTTAAGGTTAGTGCAAACTTGTCTCCTAGATTGTTTTTTGTATTTTACTGTTTAACATTGTTCATTGCTAGACTAGCCCAAAAACATTTGCACTGTTAAATCAATCACGTTTGCAATGATCAGCAGAACAACCAAATTCCTCACTATCTTCTCGTAGTACTCGCGGCGGCGCTCGCCTCGGCGCTTGTAGTCTACCATCATGCCACGGAGCTTGCGCTCGTGTTTGCGGGCCTCCTGCCACATGACGGCGCCGCTGGGGGTGGGGGCGCGGCGGGGCACGGCTGCTGCAATGGGGAAGTGAAACAAAACGGACAGGAGAAAAGACAAAAGTAACATGAGTAGAGATTTACCTGTGTATTAGTGTCCCAAATCATTAATCTAGGCTTTGTACTTGCTCTAAATAGAGCTGAACAATTAAAGCTAAAATTAACACAACATTTTTGCTCTTGTTGCATTTAACAAGAGTACAACTCATCGTTTCATCTTATGCTCTAAGTGGATCTGCAACCACACAGAAGGGGAAGAGTTGCAGCTTATGCACTGGTTCAAGCTGCAAGCTAGCTGTAAGCACTTGTACATACTGATGTCCTGAAACAGTACTTTAATTTCTGATATATTTATCTAATATGAAATCAGTGCAACCATACATACTTTCATTACTTATTCTGTTCTGTTAGGAACGGTGATATTACTCTAAATCAGAGCCCATGAGTTAAAAAAAGAAGGTATGAAAACAACAGATCCATGTATTATTAACCAATGTGTTACATTAACTTTAAGCAGAAGTGGAGTGTCTATCAGCTTGTTTACCAGAGATATGAGATGCAGGCCAATATATTTCTGAAATAAATATTTTGGCTTCTATCAGACCAATGTGTGATATCAATATTTTACAGTGCATACAGTGGTAAAGTTCTACAATCATGAACTCTGGAAAAGGACTAACAAAACAATAAAACCCTGAGGCCAAAGAGAAAGGCTTTGTCTATTGTCTGGTAATACCTTTGTTTTAAGAAAGGGAACTGTTTTCCTTCTCAGGTGTTATCACAACCAAAACTGTTCTGTAATTTGTATTTGTTTAAGTACCAGTCAAACTGTGTAATAGATGGAATTGTTAGCTGAACTCTGAACTTTATATTCAACAAGAGCTGAATTTTAACTCAGCAAACTATTTTCTTAATCAAAAAAATTATTCTGATCAGTTGATAAAACTGTTCATATTCTTGTTTTAATTAGATAATGTTTTTTGTTTGTTGGGGTTTAAGAAGATTTTCTTTTCTTTTTTTTTTGCAAAAATCATACAGTCCTGCTCCCAAAGTCTAATTCATGTTTCTATCAGAATGTGAAATGACAAATTAAAATTGAGACCATTCATATCAATAAACTGAATGCAGAGATTAGGATTTAGCTAAATAAGAGAAGGAAAAACAACAGGATTTTATCTATTTTTCAAAACGTATTTGAGGAACATTGTTTCATAAGTTAAGTGTTTTCATTCATTACTTCTTTTTGGATTTTCACAATTAAAAATAATCTGTTAAAAGGTAACAGATCCACAATAAATAAACTAATGACCACTGCAATAAGGGTGTAAATATACATTTAACTCCAGAAACTGGGATACATAATGGGATACAAAATACTGAAGAATGAATTATTCAATCCCATGACTGAGACCAAACAAGGGTCAGTAACGGATTAAGCTGTATGACACTGGCATGGAGGATATTTTCATTTAGCATTTCAGCAGTACAACAATAAACAGGTACAATTTCAATCAAAGCTTCAGTTTACACTGGTTGGAAACTGGAAAAGGTGAATTAATAACAGTAACTTAGCTCTGCTGCTCACAATCATAGCTACATTTCAGATAGAAGAAAAACAGACCTTCCAAAAGTATATCATGTAAATGTATATTCTGCTCAGAAAATAAAACAGAGAAACCATGTGTTTGTGTTTTTTTTAGAAGATATTTAACTTTTACAAGGAGTAAAACAGTAATAGTCTGGATACAATACAATTTTCAATTTACAAAACAAGTTAGGGTTCTGGTTGGGTCATCTTACTCTTTGTTAATCTACCCACGGTGGACATGAGTGAACTAATCTCAGCTGGATTTACCACTGGACTTTGACCAGGTCCCACTAACATATCACTGAGGTTTAAACTAAACTGTTCAGCTGTTATTCTGATTGTATGTTCAGGGTCACTGTCCTGCTGGACAGGGAAACTCCTCCCCACCATGCAAAGGCATGGTTCAGTAGCCAGACAATTCAAAGTGCTTTATGTAAACAGAGCTGAAGAAAAGAAAACAGAGAAAAGCAGATGGTAGTAGCATTATAAAGGCAAGTCAAGAATAGCTGGACTAAAACTCAAGGGTAAATATTTCAGTAAACCAACTAGAAAAATGTTGCTTGTCCCCATTAGATTGGAGGAGTGTTCCTGCCTTTAGAGGAGGAGTTAAAGTATCTTGGGGTGCTGTTAACAAGTGAGGGGAGAATGGAGAGGGAGATTGATAAGACGAATCGGTACGGCAGACACTGTACCAGTATTTGTGGTAAAGAGAGAGCTGAGCAAAAAGAAAAAGCTCTCGCTTTACCAGTAGGTCTATGTTCCTTCCCTCACTTATGGTCAAAAAATCAGGATCAAGACCGAAAGAACGAGATCCCAGATACAAGCGGCTGAAATGAACTTTCTCCACAGTGTGGCTGGGTACACTCATAGATATAAGGGGAGGAGCCTGTCATCACAGAGAGGCTCAGAGTAGAGCCGCTTCTCCTCCACATGGAGAGGAGTCCACTGAGGGTGGCTCGGATATCTTTATCGAATGTCCTCCGGGCACCTCCCTCGGACATGATGGAGAGACTATCACCTCAGGCTTGGAGGTGGAGGAGGTGTCTGTGGAGAGGAGAGTCTGGGAGTCTGCTGAGACTGCTGCCCCTGCGGCCCCGGTCCCAAATAAGTGGAAGACAATCAATACTAGTATGTTTCAGCGAACAATTTAAACATAATTTGATTTAAAAACATTATAAGTATTTTAAAGATTTGTAGGAGTTAATTCCAGATCAGCGGAGCATAAGAACTAAAAGCTGATTCTCCATGTATGGATCTGGTTATACAGAGTAGATTTGAGCCAGAAGACTAGAGAGATCTGAGTGGTTGTGTTCAGATTATTCACTTAGCTTCCCTTTTACAGCTGATACGGTAAAAACAAGACTGTGATGTAGTTTGGAACCAAGCTATTCAGGGATTTCCAGACTAATGAAAGTATTTACTCTCTAAAGATACAGGGGAGCCAGTGCTATGACTTTACAAGTAGGGTGATGAGCTCTACTTTCTTAGTTTAAGTGTGGATTCAGGCAGCATCCTTCTGGGTCAGCTTCAGCAGGCAGACCTGTGAACATACTGTTGCACCAATCAATTCTACTAAAGAATAATGAGTCCTTCTGAAACATCTGTCCATTAATCCTGTGAATGATTATCCAAGTGACAAAAGGCCAGCTTTGTAACTTTTTTATGTGCCTGTGAAGGTTCAGGCATGAAACCAAGAACCCTAACCTCACTTAAGCCCAAATTGCAGGCCTAATCGAGTAAAACAAGTTTTATGTCACCATATTGAAATCTGATTGATACACTGGGCTCAAAATACACTTGTAGTACATAGACATAAATTCAGATGTTTGCTTTATTATCTGTAGTGCTGCAATTACTTTCAACCTCCCCTCCTTAGGTCCACAAACTATTACTTTAGCTTTTCTGTAACTCAATTTTTAGCTAATTTCTACTTTAACCTGTGCTTCAATGGTTTCATGTTCACCATAATGTGGTCTGTGTGTTGCCTCCATAATAAAGCCAGCCTCAGATCTTTAAGACAACAACTATGGCCCAACTCCCGCTTCCCTGTCCATGCTGAAGACCAGCATACCACCAGCATCATGGTGCCACCACCTTGTTTCACTGTTGGGATGGTGGGCTCAGGTTACGTGCTGGAATTATTTAATAAAGCATAAAACGACTAATATTTGAACCAAAAAGTTTCACTTCATATCTCATCGGAGCAGAGCTCTGTCGTTCATGTGTTAGATATCTTTCTAACATGGCTAATCACAGCTCAACGGTAACTGGCACGTGCTAACAGAGCTAATCCCGAATACTAAGGTTTATTCAGTTGCACATAATGATAACATGACATGTTTCTGAGCAGCAGTGGGGTGGACTCTCGTGGTGTAAGGTTCAATTAGTCATTAAGAAACGGGCCTGTCTGACTGCGCACCTAACTCAGGCCTGCTCACTGTTAGCATCAGAGCTACATTAGCTCTGCAAAAACGACTGGAACGGCGTCTGTCGCACAGCTCAACGACACACAAAAGACATCACATAAAACCCTCCGAGCTAACCTAATAGAAGTTTGCATCCACAAGCTATACCTGTTTATAGTGTCCACCAAAACGAACGGGGGTTAATCTCCGCGGGTGAATGTCGCCACACGCCTCCTTCTTAGTATTCCGCCTTCACCGAGCTCAGCCTCTAGGGGGCGCTGATTAGCCAGATTTTTCCGGACTCTGAAAACATGAAAAACACCGACCTTTGTCTAAAACATTACACAAACTATTCATAACAAATGTATTGTGTCGCACCACCAAATCATGAACTCGGATGTTGAAATCACTTCCTTGGCTGCGTGTGTACAACTTGGACACATATGAATTATGATTATATGTCATCAAAGTAGCCTACATGTAAAGACATATTTTGGGCATTGTGTATTTCTTCACTCTTCATCCAATCACAAACCTTTATTAATGGTTCATAGAAATCAGCTCACTCCATATTTTATCTTGCTATTTAAAATTTAGCCTATCTGTCTTAAACTTGTCCAGCTGTACTGTCCTTCATACAACATTGCAACATTGAAATGTGTGAATGCATTTCCTCATCAGTCTTATCACACTGTTCATCAAATTTTTTTCATTACCAAATCAAAAGCATATAGACATTTAAAGCCGAACAATTATTGAAGCATACCCCTAACAGAATCAAGTGTGTCCACATATGACAGCTTTTTTTTTATAGGAGGATCATTATACAGGGTTATTGCACCTGGTGTTTACATTGGTATTTATATAG